AATACTCAGTTGTTGTGGAAAATAAGATCACATGTAAGAAGCGTCACGTTTTGAAGCAAGAATGGCGTCTCTCAGCTGATAAGCACGTGCGTCTCGTATACGAGACGCCCGGAATCAAAGGGTTAAATAACTCTTAATAGAAAATAGTAGAAATCTGCAGTCTTCAGCAATCGAAAGACGACAGTTTAAGCTATATTTTCACAAGAAAAATCGTCTTTCGAAAATTTTTCGAAGATCGGTTTTCTACAAGTTCTTGTTGGAAAACCAGCTCGGATTTAGACTGTCAGAAATGCATGAAAACATAGGTGGTCCACAATGTTGAATCTTGTGGCAACATTGGTTATGATCTGCTCCAAACGAGAAGTTTTTATTTGAGAATAAAATAAAATAGAGTACATCTTAATATTCTGACATAATCTGAATGGTTCTTGACTGGCTTATGAATTTTTTGACTTTACTCAAAAATAGGCAAAAACAGAATATTTCACCTAATATACGTTTTCACTAGGTTTTTGAAACTTTTTTGAAAAACACAAATGTTGTCACGAGATTCAACATAGTCGACAATGTTTTCATGCATTTCTGACAATCTAAAACTAACGACAGAGAAGTCCTAAGACTTCGGGAAAAAGGTCAGTAGCGCCCGAACCAAACAAAACCAAACTTTTGTTTAGATCTTATTTTGTAGAGAACACTTCGGACTATCTATCTACGAAAAAGAACGATAGATTACTATATCGGTTTCTAGAAATCCGAGCTGGTTTTCCAACAAGATCTTGTAGAAAACCGATCTATGTTGAATTTGATCCGAGTTGAATAATCTTAGTTTTGTGGCTTATAAAAGAAACGTTCACTCTAATCCTTAGGGAATTTACTAATACTTGAGATTCACGTTGACCATATTCGATTGCCAATGTGTTAGTAAAAAGTTAATCTTTTAAGATATAGCACTGCAATTTTTTTTTTGCGATTAAACTGTAGTTTCATACATAGTTCGGATATTAGCATACGTACCTAGATGCTACGAGCATAAACGAAGCCAGAAACAAATAATATAAGTAACATATTAATGTTTAACAACTACTCTCACAAAAAACAACAGGAGCAATTCTAAACGTTAATTTAATAACATCTAACGTATACTTAAAAATAGTCGCTAGTATCAGGAAAAATCGATTAGTTTATGCGAGACACACACACGTTTCGTCAGGCATATTTTAAACCATAGCGTATAATAAGCGCAGACAGATTGATATAAGATTAAAAGTTTTGTTTCGCAATTTTTTTAAATTGCTAAATGCAAATAATTTATCATATATTGCGGTTCTTTTAACCGCACTCTTTAGTTTTATTATACCCATCACAATAATTTTTTTTCTATGTAACGTGTCATTAGGTATCATATACAATTTTAAACAGAGAGAAAGAAATTATTTTTCTCTGCTATTAAATTTTCTTGTGATCAGTATAAATTAGTATGGAGAAAAAAAAACTAGTTATTCAAGGTTTATACAATCAATGAAGCGTTAAAATACGGAAAGAAGATGTATATAAAAGAACTTAATTGGGAGTTTTTCATCCTTGAACATAAGCGATTTTTTTCTTTCTCACCTGCAACATATTTGTTCAAGGGAAAGATTGGTCAAGCTCTTTTTTTATTACAACACTGTATAAAGTTGAGGAGCACACGAGTTAATTCTTTTACTGATAAATAATATTTTTTCGTTGGATATATTATATTTGTTTTTCTTAATTATTTTTAAACAAAAAATATAGAAAAAGAGTATATTTATTATACATTTTTCACACATACTTTAATTGCTATTGCTTATTATTCTTTTTTTCAAGGAAATTACTGGTAAGTATTGTCTTTCTTCAGTTACAGAAAAAACAATTTGATAATCACTAATAGATTACAGCGAGAAACATATCAAAAGAGACCATTGTTTAGAGGGAATGAAAAAGTAAAAATGTGACTTCGTTCATATTCAGACATAATAAGAAAATCTCATACGTGTTAATCTGAAATAAAAATTATTGTTATTAGTTTTAATTCTTCCTCCTAGACAAAAGCTTTTTATCAGTCCTGATAAGAAACTGATAAGATACTTACAAGATTCTTATATAAAAGTTAAGAATTAGCTGCTATAATAAGAAATCGTTAAGAAAGTGATAAGAGTCGTATAAAGTTCTTATCATTTTCTTACCAAAGTTTTGTTAGTCTCTTAATGACAATAATTGACGTCCAATCGACCTATCACTAAGCAACCAGCCTGGTCCTATATTTTTCTATTTCATTTAAAGTATCGTACACTTAATGTGAGGATTACCCCTCAGATAAAATGGATCTGTTCACAGCTTATAGATTCATTATTCTGGTGGTATATTCTATTTTCTGTTGTTAGGTTAATCTGATCCCTTGAGAAACAACCTTACAAAAATGATGAACTATGTGTATCCCAACTACAATATACAAGCCCTGATGGCGCAAGCAGTCAGTTCAATAATGAATGGCGGTCAACTCCCTCCAAATTGTGTAGTGATGAGCTTGAATTTAAATGGTGGGATGCAACAGCAATACGGACAATTTCAACAACAACCTTATTACATGCAATATCCGTCAGCGGTGAATGCTGGTAATTTTATGTTTCCACAACCACAACAGCCCATGATGATGCCACAACAACAAATGAACTTCTCACCTTTCTCGCAAGTGCCTCCGTTTATGTATGATCGCGATGTGTCGAGAGGTTTTGGTCTGTATCCACCAAGCGATGCAAACTATTCTCAATATCCACATTACATTGGTTACAGTGGGCCAGCGCAACAAATTAACTATCCAGTTGCACCTTATCAAGAGCAACAACAACACTATGATACTCCTACATATCGAGGTAGAAAATCTCGTAGACAAAGTCATCATCGTGAACGCGATCGTGCTCCACATGCAAATACTTACGAAGAAGATTCATTTGATAGTGAAATGCGTAATTTAGACTGGGATGGTCTGTTCAATAGACATGGCCAAAAACCAGCAGCTATTGGTTATAGAAGATCAAATACACGCTCTCCCTCGTCATCAACTTCTCCATCATCCAGCTCTAATTCATCGATAACAAGTGATGAGACTATACGTCGAGTGAGTATATCAAAAACGCGACCGACTGATGTTTATGGAAAACAGCAAGAAAAATACCAACACCATCGTCAACATCGTCAATATGATAGAGATTATAGTCATTATCCTGGTCATTTACAAAAAACAAATAATACACATCGATCGAACAACCGAAATGGAACATCAGTTCATAAAAAACATCGAAAAAATGATTTAATGCCCTTTGAATATTCATCTGAGTTTATACCGATGGACAAAGAGAAACAGTCGAAAAACCAGACGAAGGTTAACACGACCAAGAAAGACCGTGTAAGCGAAGACGATGTATTCATTATCAACAATAACAATGATCAACAACAACAACAAAAGCAGAAGACCCCACCAGCTCAATCAGAACAACAAAAAACCTAGCCGCCACAACCGCCGCAATAAGAAACACATTAATTTGTACTTGTTTATGCGCTTAGGATACGATGTTATATGCTTGTATACAGAAAAAGAAGATGTACTTTTCTTTTTATATAACAAGCTGTAGTAGACTTGCATAATGTATATTTCTGTTGTAAAAATATTCTCTTTATTTCCAGTGGATAAATCTTCCAGCTTAATATCCATTATCAAAAGAAAGAAACAGTGCTCCCCCAATTTTTTGAAAAACTGGAAAACGACAAGAGGTAGCAAACTTGGGTCTCCACCATTTTTTACTCTATTGATCCATATATGAAGACTTGGAAAATCCGGTCTTTCAGGTGGTGTACCTTACGGGTGAAAAAATATGTGGTCGCTGCTGCTTGATTTCCTATGGGGACCTCTATGTTTAAAATATGTAAAAGATAGCGTAGGATACCCTCAACATTCTTCAAAAACTGAGGACGAGACAAATTTGAAAATTAAGGCAAGAAAAAGAAAGAAGACCGACATGAAACCTACTAAACAGAAGACATTATCTAATCCTGTTGTAGTGAATCATTTAATGGGCATGCATTTAACGCATACTGATTCTAATGCCAGCTATAAAATCAATAAAAGCTGCGCTACAACAAAAGGAAAAAATAACGATATTAATGGAATTTTAACGATTGATACAGGTTCAGGAGTAACAATAATGAATGAACGTTTGGATGTTCCGGTTTATGCCATAGAGAAACGAATTCTTCCACCGTATCATGAAACATATATATCCGTCCGCCCGCCACTACAGTTTAGCTCGGACTCATGGGAAACTACCACTATAGCAGCTCCTACCCGTATATCCGTGGCTAACTGTTTAGTCATCGTTCACAACAATTCAACATCATTAAAAATAGCAAATTTGACGTCTATTCGACAAGTAATCCACAAGGGACAAAGAGTGGCTAACCTCGATCCATGGTATGAACAATGGACAACATCTTCAACAGGAATTCTCGACCCACAATAACATCACCAACCTGCTGACAAAACTAATGATTATATTAATCAAACTTGTGCCTCCGTTACGGACTCTGTTAATGTTGTTGATTTGGATGGATACGCGATTAGTAATGAAGTTGAAATGAGCAATGGCGTTACGAATATTGGAAATAATTATCAACAAAATAAAATTAATAAAATTGGTAATAAAATTAACGAATAAATAAAGAAGGATCAATTAATGTAGAGACAAACATGAATATATATAAAAGAAAATACGAACTGAAAGAAGAGAGAAACGAAGATGAAGATTAAAATGGCTCTGATAATGAAGATGAACAAGATACGTATGTTTTCGACGTTAAGGATTTTACTAAGGACAGTAAAAACGCTCCTTTTCTTTTATCGGCTCAAACACCGCTAAGCGAGGACTACGAAATCCAACTTTTGAAGGGCTTAGATCTCTCCAGTGCCAAATTAAATTCAGAAGAAGAAAAACTTCTGAGGGAATTAATACTCAAATACTTCGATCTATTTACGTCAAAACTCGGGCGTACAAATATTACGAAGCATCATCTAGATGTTGGAGACGCTCGTCCTATAAAACGGTATTCGTGACACACGATGGCTTATTCACAGTGATGCCGTTTGGTTTAACTAATGCACCGGCTACATTCCAACGCCTTATTAATTATTTTCAGTTATTTTGTCCGGTTTAAAATGGCGCTTTTGCATAGTGTACCTAGATGATGTGATCATCTTCTCTTCTACTTTTGATCAACATCTCAAAGACATAAACGATGTTTTAGGACGATTGCGTCAAAGTAATCTAACTTTTAAAACATCTAAACGTCATTTTTGCCGCAGAGAGCTCAAATATTTAGAACACATAGTTAGTGCAAGGGTGATCCAGAAAAATTAAAAGCTGTACGCGATTTTCCTGTTCCGTACAAAGCCAAAGGTGTCCATTAATTTCCTGGATTAACCGGTTATTATCGTCGGTTTATCCAAAACTATGCAACTCTAGCTGAGCCTCTGTTGCAGTTAATTCGTGTTAAGCGTTCACCCGTTTTCGTTTGGATACCAGAGTGCCAGGAGCTTTCGATAAGTTAAAACAAAAGTTCATTACTAGTCCCATAATCTCGTATCCAGACTTCAATCATCCATTCCTATTACAACTGGATGCGTCCGACTATGGATTAGGAACCGTGTTAGCTCAGAAAATTCCTCCCGATGGAGAGGAACATGTATCTGCTTACGCTAGCCGCACGTTAAACGAATCGGAACGTTATAACAAACCGGACAAAATAACTGAAAATAACTAATAAGGCGTTGGAATGTAGCCGGTGCATTAGTTAAACCAAACGGCATCACTGTGAATTGAAATAAGCCATCGTGTGTCACAAATACCGATTTATTTTTATTTTCCTCATCGAGCTCCACTTGCCAAAAACCTGAACATACGTAATGTACTAAAATATTTGGCATCATGCAGAGTATCGAGAGCCGCACGTTGAACGAATCCATCCATTACCTCTAACAAAAAGAGGTCATGGATACATTTTAGTCATCGTAGACTACTTCACAAAATGGGTGAAATTATTTCCACTGCAAAATACGCGTTCAATCAGTATAGCACAAATACTTCAAGACGAAGTTACTTGCCGTTTTGGATGCCCAGTTAAGATCATCTCAGATAATTGATCACAATTTGTTTCAGAAATATTCGCAGAAACCTTACGTCTTCTTCAAATAGAATACCGCTGAAATGCTCTCTATCAGATCAAACTAATATTAGAACAGATTACTAATACGTTAAAAACGATGATAGCGGGGTACGCAGATAAAGATCGCAATAACTGGGATATAAAACTCCCACAGTTAGCTTTCGCTATATGAACAGCGTTAAATGGCAGTACACTGTAATCTTGAATTAATTTCCACTTTATAGGAAATCGACCGAGAAATCGCCGGCGATTTTCTAGTTTATAGAAATTCCTCGACGAATTTCCAGGTTTCTAGGAAATGTTGATTTTCTACTTTATAGAAAATCGACTTGGTTTTCCATAAACTCGATTTTCTATCAAGGTGGAGAATCGCCGGCGATTTTCTAGTTTATAGAAAATCAATCGAATTTTTATAAATAATTTTCAAGAATCTGGAAATTCGATTTTGATTTTCTATAAACTAGAAAATCGTCGAGGATTTTCTAGAAAGTGGAAATTCGCCTAGGAATTTCTAGATCACATACTTATTCATCTTTTTGTTTTGTAATCAGTGTAGGTATAAGAGCGTCACGTAAAGACACTCATATTACACTTAAATCAACTTTGACAGTTTCTACTTTAGATCACAATTCTGCCTATGCCAGCAAAAATTTTGATTTAGGCAAAAATAGTGGTAGCGCGAAGTTTCACTAGGAAGGTCCGAAAATCGGAGCCGCTCACCAGAAATTTCTCAAAAGCATGAGCGGGGTCAACCCCCATACAACCTGGTCACGCCACCACTCAGTGCAGACCCGCCAAGAAATTTTCAGTTTATAGAAAATCAAAAAGGAATTTCTACTTTCTTGAAAATTATTTATTGAAAGTCAACGGCGATTTTCTAACAAATTGGAAAATCAAGGAGGATTTTCTGGAATTTTTCAGTTTATTGAAAATTCGGTTTTCTATAAACTGCACCGATGCGCACCAGTGCCAAAAAGAATGTAAAAATCTCGTACCGATGCGCACCAATGCCGAAGTTTTGTTTTCAATCACCATTTTGTTCTGTCAATTTCTGTCTATACTAACGCTAGTCTACTTCTAATATTTCGAATGTCTTTCTGACTTCATTCACTTCAGTGCACCTGTGTGGCACTCTTTCGGCAGAAATATATCGGCACTGGTTCGGCACTTGCTGGGTACGGGTGCGCATCGATGCCAGCCAGTGCCCATGACCGATGGCATGTCATGTGCACTGGCAGTGCCGCACTGATTTTTACCAGTGCTGCACTGGAATTTTTTTTATAGGGAACTTTTAGCTAAGAACATACTTCTTACCTATTGTTTCTCTCTCTCTAACTCGATTAATGTCAGTCAAGACACGAATTTGTCAGAGTATATCGCGAATGTTCTCAACAAGCAAAGATATCGTAAACCACAACTATGTAATATAAAACACAAGAGAAAGACATACATCAAATAACAGTGAAAACAACGAACAGCAACAGAAAAAAACATATGTATGATTTCAAAATAGTAATGGACGGCGTCGTAATCCTCTAATCTACCCATAACCACGTCATCAAGTGGAACAAAAACGACTAAATTCCCTTTTTCCAACCCATCTCCACCGACCGTACTACCACCAGCCATCCTCACGGCTAGAAACAAAAGAAGGAAGTGGATAGTGAAGAACTTAGTGGTTCACGAACCGGTTCTATTGTTAAACTTACCGGCAGCAAAATCAGCAAATTCCTGATGCCACCAGTCCGCCCACATATGCGCCCAGTTACTGTGAGGACCAACTATTAATAGACGCAAGTGATTCTGGAAACCGAACCGGAGAATAATTTCTAGCCTATCAGCTAGACTAATATTTGCCATCAATTGAGAGAGAGAGAAAGTTAAAAAGCGTTACGAGAAGATAAGATAGTGAAGAGAATATAACAAACAGTGAGAAATCATCTTCAACAGATAGGAATGCGCGATATCATATTATCATATTATAAGTCACGTGAATGCATTTTCCTTTATAATATCCTTCTTCTTCCTTTTTGTACGTAATAATAATTAATAATATTAAACTATCCCATGTCGGCTATAGCGATAAAAAGTCGCGGCGCGAACGCGTAACGCGATCGCTTATAGACTCGCGAAAGTTCTCGCTAATTTCGCGATCGCTATAAAGTCGCGATGGAACGGAATTTTTTCTATATAGTCGCCACATTCGCGACACGACTCCCGCTGTCGCGTCGCGACTTCTTCATTTTCTCCTTTTAGTGGGCGCGACTCTTTGTTCTCGCGGCGGGACTCGCGATGTCGCGAAGCGACTTCTATCTTTTTTGATCAAAAAAGGGCGACTTTTTATTTCTCGCGATCTGACTCGCGGTTTCTGTCAAATCCACTCTCCTCCTTCGTTTCTTAGTTCTTTCTTATTTATCAAGTAAAAGGCTGTGAATATTCTATTCTCATGGCTTGTGGATAAATACATGTATGACATACATGCATTTATTCACAATTCCTAATACAGCAAATGTATATATCCTAGAGAGCTTTTTTTCTCAAGCACATACCTCGAGATTTGTCTCCATGCACATGAGTTTCTTACTCATGCAAAACGCTTGAGGTATGTGCTTGACTTTCTTGTCTCATGCGTTTGAGTTGCTTGAAGTATGCGCATAAGAGAAGAAATATCTAAAACAATGTGCATACCTCAAGCACATACCTCAAGAAAGGTCTGTGCATATCTCACACTAGTGAACATAATTTTCCGGTAATCTGTGATGTATTTGTTTGAGAAAAACGTTCCTTACACCGATCTTACACCGAAGAAACTCACAATTGTAATGATAAACATCAACCATTTGGTGCATGTCTCACTTTTGTCCATTTTTATTTGAAGATCTTGCACAGTCAATATTTCTAACTAAGCCTACACAACGGGGAAAGGACCTTAGATTCGGTACATTATCTGAAAAGAAAGACCTTTCATAACTGTTAATGAGAAAGATAGTTCAGTTTTGTGACAGAAAAAAACGCAAGACGATTTAACTCTTTCTTCGTCTCAAATTGCTGTTTACTTACTTCGAAGTTAAAGGTTCAAATTATTTAACTTTCTATCCTTTTTTACAACAAATCAATAACAAAACGCAGGTTAAAACATGTAAAAAATGCGAATAAAAATAGTCTACATCTTCACAGTACGTTAAAAAAAGAAGAAATGGCTGTATAGACAACGTGCATTATTCCCTTGAATGTATATGATATCCACATGTCTGTTCTATACACAGACACGTCCCGTCTACATTGAAAGAACGAAATCAAA